AGTGCACAGTATTTTGGTAAGAGAAGTCAAAGTCATTGAAGTATACAAGAGATAACATTAAAATTCCATTCTTGCAGATGCACTAGCTTCAAACTTGCACTCAAATAACATCATATCTCATGAAATTTCTGCACTACATTGATATAATAACATCATTTTATTACCTTCAATATTCCTGTTAAAGTTATCACAAGAATGAAATCAGTTTAAGGGTTTATAATTTTATTGGCATTATCCTAAATGTCTATATCACAATGATACTATTTCAACTTTACCACCTAAAATATAAGTGCATTTTCATAGAGGAGTGAACATAGAATGAAAATGGTTGATTATAAATACCCGATTATAGTCTTCAAGCCAGCTCTCTTCTTCACATGCTGACATCCATTTCTCAACCTTGTCCAATATTTCTTTCCGACTTAGAGCTTCTTCTTTCGCTTTTGCTATCTGTTTGTCCATGTCAGCCAGTAATTCAGTTGGTTCAATGTTTCCAGAGTCAATCAGTGACAAAATGTTCCCTCGTGCAACTTCTGGGTCTATTTCTACATGAGCACAGGCATATATCCCTTCAAGCTCATCTTGCTTCTTGAAGGCAATTTCTTTCATCCTGCTGGCTTTCAGCTGGTCAAGCCTTTCAACTTCCGCTTCAGCCTTCAGAACAAATAACAAGAAAAAAATCAATTAGCACTTTGCATCATTTATGGAGCATGACTCTGCAAACATCATAAAGTTATAATCACTACCTGCTCAATCAGATCCAGAGCAAGGGCCCCAGGAACAGTAACTTCATTGACAGAAGTTGACATATTACAGGTAACATGATCAAATAGTCTCCTTTCCTCCATAGGAGTATCCATTAGATTCCACAGATCGATTAACTGAGAAGCTAATTCTTGGAGCTGCAAAGGATGCACAGGCTAAAGTCAAATCTATATATATATATATATATATATATATATACAAACACATTGCTGATTAAAAGTCAAACAAAATTGAATCCACCATGTCAGCAATGATATTGCTGAGGTGCCGAAGTTAGAATTTATGGAAATTCCATGTAAACATTAATAAAAACATTGGTTTGCCATAATTAGTAACCTCTGAAGCGTATACACCTTGTAGCCCTAGTATGCTTAAAAAACATGAATGAAGGAAATAAAACTGAATTAACATATAGTATTTTAAATGCATTACCTTGTACAGCCTCTGCTTTTTATCTTCTTTCAGTATTGAGACTGTCTTAGCCAGTTTAGCTAGTGTTCCATTGCTTATGCTTTTGGAATGAACACCAGTAGAATCATTTAAGCTTGGATGAACCTCAGTTACAATACTGAAGAAGTCCATGCCAAGGACGGCACAAAGATCATGCACAGTGCTCACAAATTCAAGAACCTTGTGCAACCTCTCACTCTGCAAGACAACATAAAGTAACAAACTCTCAGTGTTAATTACAAAATCAAACAACATTTTCAATTTTTTACTAACTCATACATTATTTGATGGTATAGTAGACTTACCTTTTCCCTTTGAAGTTCTTGAAGTTGGGATTGATATTCATCCAATTTCCTCAAGGACAGATCAGACTCATCAACTTCAATTGATCCTGCCTGACCAGAGTTCAAGTCCCCAGCTATCTCTCCACATATTTTTTGGATCTGTGACTGTACATCTGAAAACTCCTTTATTCTTTCCTCCTTTTGTTGCCATAACTGTTCCAGAATTGGTGCTATAGCTGCAAGTTGTTCCTTAATAGTCCCTGAAGTTTTTTCAGGCTGCAAAGAAACCAAAAATATGCATGGGAAATTAGTTTGCCAGTTCAGTATCTATATGCATCACAAAGTTACGTTGCATTATTGGTAGCTGCCAAGTACATATATAATTAGTTACTAACAATTCCCATGAAGCTCTTTTCACCAAGAGCTGATAGAAGAGTAGAAAGCTCAAGCTTAGCACCAGACAAGGATTGAAGTAGCTGTGCCCTTGTCTTAGCAGCCTGCTCAACCTTTCTTTTGTACACATCAAAGCACTCTTGCTCTATCTGAAGGAGCATCTTGTCTCGCTCCTCATCACTCTCACCAACCTCATCCCATATTTCCTACAACAAATAAAGATAACCTTGCTGTAAACCATGCACATCTGCAGTAACACAGATGAAAAGCTTAATAAAATTACCTGCAGCTTATTTAACAAGGAACCGCAGGTGTTTTCATCAATAAGAGGATTTTGAGCATCCATCACTGCCATTAGTTCATGCGCAATCTAGCCAGCACAAATGGGAAAAAATTCATATGAAACTCCTTTCTCCTTTCCCTCAAACATAGAGGAACACAATCATCCCTTCTTTCCAAAAGGAACACAAGAAACAAGCAGGTATCCATTTCTAAAGCTGCAAAATTTCCCCCATTTCCGAAACACTCTCCAACACTTAAACACAAATGGCTGAAAATAATTACTCCAAATGCAAAGTGAATAAATTAAGAAGGATCAGTCATGAAACTACTAGAAGCTTAAAGCCAAATCCTCCTTAGCACTAAATCAACACATTGACAACCTCAATGACAATCAAAAACACACAAAAAAAAAAAAAAAAAAACTTCACCATCAAGCTACAGTAAACTTCTCAATCAATAATGACAACCCCAAAAAGGAAAAAATGCAAATTTTGAACCAAAATGCAAAAGCACAATGCAGAATCCAGTATCAACAAGTTAACACCTTGCATAGACAAAGTAAGAGTAGGAAACAAGTGGATCTTCTGGGTGTGGAAGATCAAGACAAGAAGAACCGAATGAGGAAACAGAGGAGCACATTGTTGACAATAGAAGAAACGGAAGAGAGAGAGAATGGTTACCCAGTTGTCCTTTCAGGCTCAAGAGGGTGTTGGATTCCTGTGGTTTAAGATCTAAGCATCACAGTGAATGAGAGTGACAAAGTGTAGTGTTTTTGTGTTTGTGCTGAGTTCAGTGAGATAAAGAGCAGAAAAAAGAATGTGTGTGTAATCTTTGTGTGCAAGGACAGAACAAGTTCATCAGAGTGTGCCACTGTTTTTTGATTGTCCGGTAAGTCAATTACATTATTGCCCGCGTCCTGGCAGGTATTTACGGATATGACACTGTGTCACAGTTGACAAAGACAAAAAGTAGAGTTTAACGCTCCTTTCAACAACTAAAAATTAATATTGAATGAAAAAAATTATATTTATATATAAACATATGTTTAAAAATAAAAATGATAATTAATGTTATCTTTTAAAATTATATAAAAAAAAAATTCTTTAGCATGGTCATGGTTGTTGAGTTATTATGTTAAATCGAATATATTTGGTTCATCATAATTTTATGTGTATAATCATTTTTTATTTTTAAATTTTTAAATAAGCGACTTTGTTAAAGTTAAATTAAATTAAATATACATTTAATCAGATACATGTTTGGAATAATTTTTTAAGAAAAATAATTAATTATTTTAAAACCTTAATAAAAATGTATAGTTATTTTTTCAAAATGAGATAAAATGGACACACTAAATGAACGAGGGAAAATGCCATTGTTATTAATTGATAGATTCATTATTTAAAAAGAAACAAACTTACCCAGCAGCTCTTAAAAATCTGATTTTAAGATTAATTAGTGTAGCAATGCCGTAAAATTAGGTATGCATATAATTAAAGTATCAACTACTAGTCATTTCATATTATTAAATAATCAGAGACCTATCTTACATTTATTTGTGTGTATACAGTAATTTATAATTTTAGAGTTTTTTAATCATAAAATTTCTTGTTATGTTTTTTTAATAAAGAAATGTTGAATTCTCTTTATAGGTATTACAAATAAGTTAATTTTAATTCGTAAACAAATTATTTTATTTTATTTTAAAAAATTATAAATATTTGTTAAAAATATGTCTTATGTAGAGTTCAGAACATAAAAACTAACAATGCTACAAAATTTATTATTATGTACCGAGATCTTGCTATTATAAAAAAATATATATATATTTTGAGGGAATGATACCTATTTAAAGATTGGCAAAGTTGTTAAATTAAAAAAAAAACTAATATTTACTTCGTTTAAAAAAAGGAATAACAGTTCAAACATTAAAACTATAAAAAAATGAATTTAGAAAAAAATGGTAATTCTTTAAAAATCATAATATTTATAACTCTTTTTTTTAGATGTTTAATATTTTTCCCTTTTGTTTTTTGTTTTCTTTAATGTATATCAATAATATTTTTCAATTGACAATCAAAAATTATTTCTTACAAGGCGTAAAAATTATCATCAATATCTTTTTCATACACGTAATTAAAAATTAAATTCACGTGATCGTACTTAAAAAACACAATTATTTATTAATTATGTCGGATTTTTTGACATTTTTTTATTTCATTACTTTATTCTGTTTTTCCTAATTGCAAAATAACTTAAAACAAAATCTAATAAAAAATTATTGTGAACAGAATATTTTATGAAAAATGAGATGTTACATGCAATTTCTCCAACAATAATATTTTTAAATTTTATTTTACACGTTTTTAAATATAAAAATCAATTGTGACTTGATCGCAATTGAATGTCCCATGAAAATTTTTAACATAAATTTTGTTCTAAGTTACTTCAAAATTTAAGCGTGTATTTTTACATTGAATTAATAAAAATACAAATTAATTAATTTTTTTTCATAATAAATGTTTAAGATTTAATTAATCCCCCGTTTTCAATTTATGGAAAGTGGTTTTCTTGTTAGAAAAATAATAAAAAGCATTTTACTACCAAATAAAATGGCCTATACGAGTTTGGATAATTCATTAATTTATATTTTTTATTGATTAAACAAAAAGTTACTATCATCTGTCTTAGTTTTTGTATGTTGCATGTATTTAAAACCCATCAATTTGAGCAATGAGAAAAGTGCAAAAGAAAAAAGAGATGAAGCACTCACAAATTTTCACTCTTTTGAGTTTTCTTTTTGTTATTTTCATAGTTTGCAATGGCATGAATTGTTCTAATCCACCGAAGGTTATATATGTTAATGAATCAGGGCAAAGAGGAACCTTCAAAACTATCCAAAGTGCAATTGAATCTCTCCCTAAACCCAACTCTCAATGGACTCATATCAGAATCTCTGCAGGAACTTACACGTAAGGATATATTTTTCTTCACTTAAATTATATTAAACATCATTTTTGTTTTACTAAAATAATTTCATTATTTTAATCACTAAAAATTAATCATTTATGTAACTTTAGATATTATGATTCGCACTTCTGTTCAATTCTTATTTATATTCAGTTAATGTTGAATATAATTTGAAAATTAAATAAAAAATATTATTTTTCAAATTTTATTTTATTATTATATGATTTTTAATTTATTTTTAAATTTGAAGTAATAATTAAAATTTTCAAATAAGTCTGTTGAAAAAAATATAAAATAGAGAAAAGAAATTATGATTAAAAGGATAAATTATAAAAAATAAAAAATTATTTTAATAGAGAAAATATTTAGTCAAGAAAAAATAAAATTTAAAATAAATAAAAACGATGCATTATATATTTATACAATTTTATCATAAAATTGAATAAAAAAATATATATAAAAATATACTATAAATTTATTATAAATGCAGTTTAGTTTAGTTTTAAGAATAAGAACAGAAAACTAAACTAAATTACAGTATAAAATGCGATTTATTTAATTTTCAGTTTGATAAACCTTTGGTTTATTCACTTTTTTTTTTTCATATTAGTTTAGCAATTTGAAAGTTTTAAACACTCCTTTTAGATACCACTATTTCCATCTTTCACTTGCTTTTCATTATTTTTTATATATATGCATCATAAACATATATCTCAAACAAATATAAAAGAAACGATTTAGTTCATTTAAAGTAAATAAATGTGTAAAATGGGATAATCAATAAATATTTATCTTTGATTTAAAAATATGTATATAATAAATGATTAATAAAAAAGGAATCTACTTTTAATAGTACACAAAACATTTCTTTTGAAAATCATCAAGTATTAATTAACCAATTAAAAAGGCTTATTAAAGGATTGGAAGAATATATTTGATACATGCTAGTTTAAAGTAGTATAAAATTAATTATAATCAAAATATTTAAAATCTTTAAATATAATTAAGGTGCATGCATACATTAATATAAATTACAAGTATATTTTACATTAAAGAGTAGAAAAGTTAATTTATTTCTATATGTGATGCGATGGTTTTGGGGCAGAGAAACTGTGTTCATCTCAAAACAGAGGGCATGCCTTTATCTAGAAGGAGGTGGCAGTTCATCCACCATTGTTACATCAAGTGGCCATGACAGAATGAGTACTTCTTTCACTTTTGCATCATTAGCTGATGATATCGTAGTAAAGGGCATTTCATTTGTGGTAAGTACAGTTGACCAAAAATAAATAAATAAATAAAAAGCATGTTAAATATTATAATTAAAAGAATATATGACTAGTAATTCTCTTATTTTGTATTTAAAGACATACAATTAAAATTAATAAAATATTTTTTATTAAAAATTATAACAGTTAATGTTATTAAGTATTAATCCATTAAATCTTGTGATATTATAAAAGCTTATTCATATAAGATTTTATTTTGCATTAGAAAAACCAATGAATAATATGTTTTGAAATATGAAAATATATGTATATATATTTAATTCTTATAATAATCTTTTTTTAATTTTTTTTTGCTAATAAACGAAACTTTAAAGTCCAAAACAACTAAACAGACTAGATAATAAGTATAGGCCAAGAAGACTCCAATAGATCAAGATTAAGAAGAGAAAAAAAGAAAGCAAGAACTTCATCAAACTGAAATTTGTTTCTAACTTAGCCAACCAATTAGTACAATGGTTAACTTTTCTTAACACATGACTAAATCTAATAAATTTAATACTACTCAAAAGAGATCTAATTTCTTGAATTACAGAGAAAAGAGAGTGTCTACTATCTTAAATTACATTTTAAAAAATATATATTAGTCTCTCACCATAAATTAAAAATATGATTTTTATAATTTTAAAAACTAATAACAAATGAAACTTTTGTGATAGACTAAGACCAAAAAGATATCTATAAATTTTTAGAAATTATAAAATTAATTCAGCCTAAACTGTAATGTTAAAATTCAATTTCATAATCTTTTATCATTAGTGATTATGATTTCTTTTATATAGTGAATGGAATCAAATCTCAGAACAACCATTTCTTAAAGTTGAAATCTGATACTTTTTGCAGAACTCATATAACAGGCCACCTTATGCGCAACTTAGTAAAGGCAATTTACCAGCATTGGCAGCCAAAATAGAAGGTGACAGAACTGCCTTTTATAACTGTTCCTTCAAAGGGGTGCAAGATACCTTGTGGGATTGTAAGGGACGCCATTACTTCAAACATTGTTACATTCAAGGTGCAATAGATTTCATATTTGGAGATGCACAATCCATCTATGAGGTAATACATACATAATCAAAAACCCAATATCAAAACCATTTATCCCATTACTCATCTTTGCTTCATGTTCTCAACTTGAAGCTTTTATCACTTCATCAAAATCTTGGTTAAAATACATATTCAATTTGAAAGTATATATACAAAGCTTGATTAACTTGGAAATGCATGGCTAAGCAGAAGAGTGTGATCTACTTTACATTGGGGGGAGATGGGCCAAAAGGGCATGATGGCACCATAACAGCACAAAAGAGAGGATCCATGGATTCCCCAACAGGGTTTGTGATCAAGGAATGCAACATAAGTGGGAATGGAAGGGCTCAACTTGGAAGAGCTTATGGACCATTTTCAAGAGTTATTATTGCTAATTCGACTCTCAGTGATGTGGTTCGGCCAGAGGGTTGGTCTGCTTGGGGCCAAGTTGGACACGAGTAAGCATATTTTCCTTAAGAAATTCATATATATATATATATATATATATATAGAGAGAGAGAGAGAGAGAGAGAGAGAGAGTTTATCTTTATATACTCTTTTCAAATATGCAAATAGGATAAGATTCGTAAAAAGATATAATTACTCACGTAAAGTACCTTGGTAAGAATTAACACTAATGAACAGTAACATAAAGTCAAGACTACTAAACACACGATCACTTATAAAATTAAAAATTTCATATAATTTATATGATTTAATTTTGATTATTTGTAATAAATTTAATGATTAAAGATTATTTCTCTCACTTAGTTGAATTTGCAGAGCAAATCTTACGTTTGTGGAGGAAGGTAACAGTGGAGTAGGGGCAAACCAGTCTAAACGTGTCTCTTGGATGAAGCATTTGGATGCAAATGAACTAAACAAGTTTTTGAATATTTCTTACATCGACCAAGAAGGGTGGATCACCAAACAGCCAATTTATTATTATTAGTTTGCACCTTTTAAGAAATTGTTAGGGAGGGTATTTTAGAGAAGAAAGAAAAGAAGGATATTTTTTATTTTAAAATTAATAAAATTATATACCATTTATGATATTAATTAATTAATTCTATGTTAAATTTGTGTTAATATATTATGTTATGTTTTTTGTTTTAAAAATTTATAAAATTGAACACATAGATTAATTGACAAGACTATTTTAGCTAACATTTGAATAAGATTGTTTCTAATGAAAGATATACGTTGTCCAGATAAAAATTCTGAAATTAAAATATATTTATTTAAGATAGAATTTTTTTTCATTTTTTCTTTTAATAAAAAATTTAATTTTAAGAATACTAATTAAGGTGACTTAAGGGAGTATTGATATGATAAAAAGACATTCATTATTTAATATTTATTAATTTTTTAATGAATATTTTAAGGCACTAACTAAGAAAACATAATTGTGAGTTGCCTTTGGCTAACGTGTCCAATGCTCCGATTTGCGATTTCGCTTCATTTGAAAGAATTGTCAATTTTGTCTCGCCGCCTCATAATTAATAGAATATAGTTTAAATGTATTATTTGCGTAAAAAACTAAATAACTTAAAATTCTTCCTATGTTTAAATTTATTAAATAAATAAATTAATAACTATTTTTATATTTTAAAAACATTAGATATAATTAATTTTACTTAATATATCTTCTTTATAAAACATTAAAATGAGATTGATCAAGTGGAATATTTTCTATTATTATAATCTATTAAAGTTGAGAAGCTCCTTTTCTAGTTAAGTTCGCAAAAATTGCCTTGTATGAGCATATGATTGAGGTTAACTCTATTCTTGATTTAACAAGTTATCGGATAAAGCATATAAAATTATGAAATGCATAAAATTTTTGAGGACTAGCAAGTATTAAATTGATAACTTCTAAATAATCAGAATAACATATTACTCTTTTGTAATTTTCACTCTATACAATACTTTAACTTATGATCTATAGAGCTCAGTTAGACCCAAGTTACCTATAGAGCTCTCATTTACATTAATAATGATGTTGCCTTCATGTTGAGGAAGCCACTTAATCACATCTCATATCTTGGTCTACAAAGTTGACCAAGCTTTACAATGTCATAGTCTAACTTTAGCTTTCTCATCTCAATCAAAATAAAGGTTATAGACCACATAAACCCTTGAAACACCTAGTGATTTGATCCCTCCATGCTATTCAACAAAAGATATATATATATATATATATATATATATATATATATATATATATATATCTTGTAATTTTGTAAATAATTGAAAATGATAAAAAAAATAAAAATTAGAGTTTGCTGAACAAAATTTAGAAGTATTTCCTGGGTTAGGACCAACTGATAGATAACTCTACCATAACCCATAGTATGAGACTAAATAACTTAAAGTCAAATTAAATTATTTTAATTAATATTAAAATAAGGCTTAATAAATTATTCTAGAGTTGAATAGGGCTGGCCTCAGAACTTTGATCCCTTTTTAACAGCACTATATATATATATATATATATATATATATATATATATATTATTTCAATTAATTTATTTTTTAGAATAAGATGCTTTAACTTCCTTTCTATTTTACATTTCTTACAAAAAAAAAAAACTCTATTTTTATAATTACACAAATGTTTTCTATTTTAAAAGTATATTACACTTCAATCTAATTTTAATCTTTTATTTAAAAGAATCATTAATCCGTCAACGCTTGCATTAAGTATGTCTTTGTCACCTTAAAACAAAAAAAAAGATAACAATTGACCATTGAAATAAATGAATGATATAGTTTTAAAACATACGTGTATTTTTATATATAAATTTAAAAAATAAAATTTCAGAAAAAAAAAATTCATTATTTTCTTTCAGAATTAAATTTTTAGAAGGTAAGTGTAAATAATGACGATGAGGAAGAAGAAAATTAATAGGAAGAAGGAAGAAAAATATTTTACGGGTGGTCCATGTTAACTGAAGTATGTGGGAAAGCAAAATGTTAGCCCAGAAAATACTTTTGAGGAAAAAGCTTTTTTTTTATTCTATTATAAAATTTTAATTATAAACTATATAAATGAAATAAACAAATCTTTTTTAAATAACTATATATGGTCACTAATATAGACAGAAGAATATGATTTTACTCACACGCTTATACATACATATTTTTTAAAGTTACATTCATTTTTACGGAAAACATTTATATTCATATTAAAAATATTTAAATATGATAAATATAGTTTTATATACTTAAAAATTAAACATATAACACCTTAGCTAATCACCTTTACAAACTTAAAATGACAGTATTGATACTCTACTGCAATTTTAGGTCACAATTTTTTTTATATAAATAATCAATCCTAGTACATGTTTTATAACAACTTTTTTTTTTTTAATAAATACCTTTTAACATTCATGTATTTATATTCTTTGAAACATATTAAAAAAAAGTTATTTTAAAAAATATTTTATGAAATTAATAGGTAAATGATGACTCTTATTAGTATGATATTGATAGAAAAATTATAATTATAACTTTTTTTTTGGTCAAAATTATTATTTATATATTTTTTACTTTGATTTTCAATATATCAACCAAACTATAAATATCTTTTTATTTTCAGTTCTGGTTAATAATATCGTAATTGATAAAAATTTGTTCATTAATGTCTTAAAATATTAATTAAAAAGTTAATAAATAATAGTTTTGATTAAAAATTATGTTAAAAACATAAAAAAAAAGTATGAAAATGAGGGTGTTATTATACTTATCAGTAACTTTTTTAATCAGCATATCATAACATTGGTTGATCTTTTTTAATCAATAAAAATTATAATAGTATTATTTTAAAATTAGACTGCAGACAGATGTCAATTGTGTTATCTCTTTTGGAGAACAAGTTCTGTGAATAGTCTCTCTGTCACCTCTTTCTTGTCAAAAACAAAAAAACCAGAGTCACAGAGCAAAACCCTCGTCGATTACACCACCGTTCGGAAAATGGAGGCTGTGGGTTCAAGGCTAAGCCGTGCCTCTTCTCGCTACGGTGCCCCCACCGTGTTCAGTGGCCCCGTCAGAAAGTGGAAGAAGAAATGGGTCCACGTTACACCCTCTTCCCTCCACACCAACACTCACTCTCACTCTCACAACAACAACGCCACCAACAACGCTTCCTCTCACCTCCTTCTCCGCCGATGGACCCCCATCACCGCCCCTACCGCTGCCGATGATGCCTCCGGTGACGTCTCCGATGAGCCACCCAGAAGGAAGTTCCGTTACACCCCTGTATGTCTATGTGTTTGTAAAAATGTTTTTTTGCTTGCCCTTTTGTGTTTTTGGAAAAAAATTTAATTGGGGTTTTTTGTTTTTTGATGGAACGTTTCAATTTATTTTTTCTTCTTCTGTGTTGATGGGCTGTGGTGTTTATGTGGTTTTTTGGCCTTTGGGGTGTTTGTTTTTTGGGATTTTTCTGTGGAATGAAGTTGGGGTTGTTGGATTGGGACTTTTGGATTGTGTGCATGTTGCATGAATTGAAATTTGGGGTTGTTAGAAAGATGATTTTTTAGCTGCTTTCTTCTCTAGGTTTTGAGTTTGGATTTGAATTTTGCTTGTGATGGTATTTCTCCTTATTTTGGGAATTGAAGCATGTTCTCTATGGTCTGTTGGGTCATTATTTGTTGTCCTATTTCTTTTGGTATGAAAAGGGTAGTGTTTAATAATTATATTAGGGTTGGTATGTGGGATATGAGTTATGCCTATAGGTTTTTTTAATTGGGGATTGCAAAGGAACTCCCTCACACAATTCTAGTGAAGTTTTGATCAAGAAATAATATTAACAAAGAAAGCCTGATTGTGCATTATCTTATCAGTTACATCTTTTGGCCTTTTCTCTTTTTTTGGTGATGAATAATTTTTCATTTAAATGGATTTTTTTGGTTACGAGTGAGGGTTGGTCAATGTCTTGATGCAGATAGCTGTGCTTGAAGATAAAAAAAAGACGGTTGTTGAAAAGGTTGAACATGAATCCACGCCTGAGGGTGACCAATTGGCTGCTAGACAGACAAACTTGACTCATGAGATGCATGGGAAATTAAACATGAATGGAAGTGCGGATGATGCCAAGGTACAGTAACTGAAATCTCCCTTTTTGTTTTGAATGGTTTCTAGCCTGTTTGTGCCGAACCCATAATTGATTTTGTAGGGAGTGATAATTTATCAATGCTGTTCAACTTGCACTGATTTTTTGTGAAAGTATAACTACAACTGTTAATCAAAATATGCAAATTGCAAAATCAATTTTGGTCCTCAGGACAGGTATTCGAACATTTCTCTCCTTAGGGTACTGGTTAGCATTTGCCTTCAAGCAAAGTGTGCATAGAACTTGATGTTCCTCAAATTTTATCTTTTCTTCACTTGTACAGACTGTGCTTCGATTACCCTTACTTATTATCATGGTAACACATAAATCTCTAGTTTACATTCAGGAATGATCATGTATATTCATGCCATAAACCTTAATACCATGTAAAGACTGCTATCATTTTGCTGATTCAGGTGTAAGTTGTAATACTATAAACTTTGACTATGTTGTTATTTGTTGCAATTTTCAAAATAACTGGCCCCGAGTCCTTGTGTTAGGCAATTGATGGCACGAATAGACAAAATTATTTTGTCAATGTTACATATTATTACCTTGTAAAGACTTGGTTTTTAATAGAACACAATGGGGATCTATGTAGGAAAAAATACTTTTTTTTTTAATTGTAAATGTAAGCTTATAACATTATAATGATTAATAACACTTGCTTACATATCAATTGCTGTTGCAGGATCAGAACACCAGTAAGTTGGATCTTGATTTGGGCTTACAAGGCAACGATGTTGAAAGCAACCAGAGCAGTGATGATCAATTGGAGAAAAAACATCCTGTGGGTGCTCCATGAGCTGAGACTACCTGGAAGTAGAAAATCAAGCTTTGTGGAAGCATAATGTTAATTCAAGAAATACTGAGCCAGTATATATCACTTGTTACCATCCTATTTTGACATATAAAGTAGTTAGCCAGAATCGTATGTATATAGACAGCACTTAACTAATGGTACTAGTAGTATTCATGAATAATATGTAACTAGTTTTGTTCAGCTTAGGATGATCAGTTGTAATATATGATGGATCATATGCATGATATGAGGCTACTTAGTGGTTGTAGTATATAGAAATATAAAATCTCAAATATTCTACTTACTATTTCATTAAACAGAACTCGAAGAGACATGCAATGTCAAACACGCAACCCTCCTCTCTTAATATGCAAAACATCACAAATATGAAATACTCCACATTAAACCCAGCTAGTGCATGGATGGATACTACTAACAAGGTGGCAAACGATGTTAGAAAACTTTTTGTTTTTATTGTTACTTGAATTAGTTGCAAAACCAGGACCCTTGGCTTGAGATTATTTCCTTCAATGATCGCCATGTCTCGTTCTTACCCGCTTTATTCTGTCCATTTAGCTTTATAGTCCATAAAATGGGATCAGCCTAGAATAGGTATTAAGTATGATGAAGGGGGTTCCTTTCTGTACTTTTTTTTCACTTTCACAAAAAAAATTTTATTTTTTTCTTCTAAAATAGCCTTTATGATAATAAAAAGAACTTATAAAATAATTTTTTAAAATAATATTTTAACATTTACAGAAATTAATTTCTGAAATTATTAATTTTTAAAAAAATAAAATTTTGAAAGTGTAGAATCTTAATTTTGAATTTTTTTGAAATGGTTAATAATTCTGAAATTAAGTTTTTAGAAATATAAAATTTTAATTTTAAAAAATATTTTTAGAAGCATATAGTTTTAACTCTGAAAATTTCAGAAAGAATTAATAATTCCTAAAATGTAACACCTAAACCTAATTTTAGACTTAATTTAAAAATTGTAAAATTCTAATAAAAGTTAATAAGTCAATGGAGCTTGACGAAGATGCTACCTTTTTTTTAATGATAAATAGCTTTTTATAATACTCTCAAGACAATGAATGAAAAGTCATTAGCGAAATTATAAAGGATATGACTATTCAACGAAAAAAAAATAGTAAATTAAATTATGAGAATTTTAAGAAAAAAATTACAAAAGAAATTCTAAAGGAAAAAAAATAGTGAAAAAAAAACCCTCTAAGCTGAATTTGAACGTATTTCCCTTAATATTTAGTTGAACCAAAAAATATTTGTAAGAGCCAAATAAAAAATCAGTGCCAGTAGAAAAACATTTGAGATGACTTTATCTTTTATTCTTTTAATACGTGGATGTTTCACTCATTTTCTAATTAGCTTCTTATCATTAAATTCTCTTACAAAACACGATTTAAATTGTAATACATTTTCACTCAAATCAATTTAGATTCATTCAATATGTAAAAATTAGTTTTTCACTTAAACCTTAAAAATTCGCTTAAAGAGAGAAAATAGAGAAGGCCTAAATGAGATGGAAGGAGGAGAGTGAGAGAGAGAGAGGGGGGAGAAGGAGAGCGCTGCATTTTTTACTTAAATTCACTTAAATGAAAATGCACCTCAGACCCTACAATTCGTGCCAAAACTATAAAGAATCCGTCTCCTAAAATAAAATTCACTAAACTGATAATGACACATGTATAGAAAACCCCACAAACACAAAAATAAAAAGGCAGCAAAAACAATAAAATAAAATTAAGTAACAGTTGCATCATCTCAAGACAAATTTCAAATCTTCCAATGAGTGGTCTTTCATCCCTAGTAACTTGTGAATTGTTAAAAGTAAGGAACTAGAGCTTAAACTAAGTGAGGGTAACGGTATGCTTAAGTCCCACTACAAAAGTCATTACAATAATGAACATTAAATAGCATGTATACAACCAAAATCTCAGGGAATCAAAACCCACAGTACATAGTATTTTGTTATTATAAAAATAAAAAGAAAAGAATAGTCTTCTCCATGCAGGGCAGAATACAGACTCCGCAAAGAGAAATACTGCCAGGGAGATGCATATTTCAAAAAAACATGGAGTGGTATTCAATAAGAACCTGCCACTCATGCATTTCTTCATGCCATCATCATTCAGCTACTTTGTTATCCTCCACTTATTGGGTTACACCAACTTCTGCTGGACGAATAACACGATCATAAAGTGTATATCCAGCCTGCAAGTACAATCATAGCATTGCTTATTATTCATGCAGTCAATCTCTAAGCCTTGTCTAGAATGGAATGGAATGAAATGGCTAAAAACAAATGGTGGTATTGTTTGGGAGGGTGTTTATAATTGAACCATCAAACAAAACCAAGAATAAGACCACATTTGCTCTGACATTAAGTGAAAATAACCTCTTATAAAAAGAATTTAGAAAGCAAAAGCCCATTGATAATCATCAAAGCAAATAATTGGCATGTTTGATACAATAATAAACAAAAAGCTAGTCATAAATACTGGTAGACATCACTTAGACTTCTAATATTGCAAATTTTGTATTCAAAAGGCTTTGCTAAACACATAAATACAGACATTTTAAGGTGAAAGAAATTGGAAATTAAAAACAAATCATAGTTCGTAAACAGACAATTATCTGAAATACCTTCAGAACAATTCCGACAGTGCCTGGGGGCTTAGAAGCATCAGGTATCTGGAAGATGGCATTATGCCTGTGTGGATCAAATGCCTCATTTGTGGGATCAAATTTTTCTACACCAAACTTTTTTAGCACCTGTAAGCAGCAGTTGTCAATGTTAAAGAATAGGATACGCACTAGTATTATCCCTAGAATCACATTAAATCAAACAAACAATGATGCAAACAATATAAAATGTTTCTCACAGTCTCTCTCCACTCCATTAGGAACCATTCTACTTTCCTACCCATGGTTATGGGGTTTATTTTAAACCATTGTTACTTATGGTTACCGGCTTAAGTACACTGTCACTTTATCAATCTCAAATTACCAGTGTTCATTCTTCCTTTTAATTTTAAAATTCCCTCACATTTGCCCAATGAAACTTCAAAATCCACCTATTTTCTATCATTAATCCATAAAACTATACACATTTGGAACACTCAGACAAGAGGTAAAATGTAGCCATATAAGTTAGAAATATAACCACATAAATGACTCGGGACAAAGACCGGGTACCACATTAGCTTTGAGTGACGATAGCAATTAAACAGCCACAGGATAAAGTAGAATTGTCTACCTCTGAAAGTTGTTTCTCTGTCATTTCAACACCTTCTAGAAGTGTTTTTAGGAGTTGTGCTGCTTCAGCAGAGTCCGCAGGTGATTCAATTTTTGAAAAGCTGTCCTTTACAACTGAGGAAGCCCTTCCCAAATTGTCAGCAACATCTAGTAAACTCTTCGCAAAACTCTACATCACATTTGAAAACACTCAGCACAAAGTTTAAAGAACATAATCGGGTAATAAGAGTTTTGAACCGCAAAATTGAAAAAAGGTCAAAACATAGACCTGTATGGCAAATTTTTTTGAATTCTCTGCTTCACGTCTTGTCCTGTCCATGACATTCTCCATCTCAGCATAAGTACGCAAAACTTTGTCCTGCATTTTCTCAATCTCCTTGTGCTTCAACTTCAAAAGTTCTGCCTTCTCAGAAACAAGCTTTATCAAATCATCTCTTGATAGATCACATTCACTCTCTACATCTGAATCAGAAAACAAAAAGTTCATTCAAAACCTCTATTCTTTCATTCAATAGATTGAGATTGAGATGAAGATTACAAATAGGACCTGATTCTTTGGTTCGATCCGCAGCTTCGGCTCGTTCATCAGTTACCTTAGCTTCTTCACTTGTTTTTTCAGGGTCATCACTTGCATGTTCAGGTGAAGCCGATGAAGAAACTCCAAATCTCCAAGTCAAGGATGAATTTACTTGACTCAACAAATTAGCTTGAATTGGAATCAGCTGGAATAATAGAAAACACACAAGGAACTTGATGAGGATTTCACAATGCTAACTATAACTAAAGTTGCTCAAAAAAGAATTGTAAGGAAAAAAATAGGATCCTGGAGTGTGTGTGTGTGTGATATATATATATATATATATATATATATATATATATATATATATATATATATATATAATTTTACCAAATAATTCATTGAATCATCACAAAATAAACTAAACTCATGAAGCACCAAAAATTGTAAACTTTTCACCTAAAACCCTAGTTAAACCCCACTACTAAAAACTGCGAAAAATCAAATTTTTTCATGTTTTACGAAGTGGATTACCTTATTAGGTGATTGATGAAGGAGGGAATGGAACTGATTGGAAAGGCTGGTGGATATTTGGGAGTTCCTTGAAACAGAGAGAAGCGTGAAGCTTCGAGAAACGGTGGCAGAGGAACGGGACAAGACCCTGTAAGCGAACATGACAGAAGAAAATCGATGGACAAAATGAATTTGGATTGAAATTGAAGAGGGGAAAGTGATTTGAGAGGAAAAAGGAGAGAAAAATAAATGAGGAAAAATTTGCTTGGAAAGAAAGAAAACAAGGGTTTAGGGTATATGGGTCATGTTTCTTTGTTGACAATATTGCCCTTGCGTTTTTTTATTTGGAAATGGAAACTACAATATATCTTCTTTCGGGTTTTGGAGAAAGATGAACAATATGGGAATTTCATTTTAAGGGTTTTTAGTTTTTGCTTTGGGGATTAGAAGACTCCAGAACAATGAAAACAATGGTAGGTACGCAAAACAAACTTAAAAGCATAATAGATTTAGGGTATGTTTGATTTTCTTAACAGTATTTTTTATGAATTATAATAAAATAATGACAATATCAGTGAATTCTAACAAATATTAATTTATTTTATACATTATATACTTATGATAAATACTTTTAGTAAATCATAACAGCATAATATTAAAGTTTATAATAAACATTCTACTATTAAATTTATTATATATTAATTAAGTTTTTTTTATTTGAAAGATTATAATCATATTTGAAGTGTTTAGATACATAATTTAAATAAGGTAATATGATAATATTAAAATTAAAATAGAAACATCTTTCATCTTGTTTTATTCTTTTTTTAATATTCAGAACAATAGAAAAAGATTTTCTTCTGTAAATTGCATATGCAATCAGTGTATTTTGGATTTTTGCTTAAAAAAAAAATTTGTTTAAACAAAAATACAAAAATAACACTAAATAAGGAAATCTGAATCCCATAACAATAGATCTCAAATTATTTTTCTTCTGTCGTTTTCCATTTCATTATATTTTATCAATCTAAACATAGCTTCTCAATTTTTGTACATTGCGAAAATGCATGACTTTATTGATAGATCACAAATTCATTTACTTTCATATGCATGCAGTAACGGGGAAAAAAATTATTCTCTAATTATTGGAGGAGTGCACTAAGAAAGGAGAAAAAAAAAAAACTACATTTATTTTGTTGATCCCACACTTACAAACCTTGACTGTATTACAAACTTTGTACGTGGATGTCTAAACAATTGAGTATGTTGTGTGAAATTTGAACTTATACATTTCTTAATAATTTTTTAATAAAATATGAGATTAATTATATTATATAGATTAATTTTATAAAATTTAATAAAAAATAAAATTACTAAATATTTCATTATGTTATTTTATTTTAATGAATAATATATTTTAAATATAAAAAAATAGTTTACTGCTGTTCGTACCTCTGCTCTCAAGAAATGTATGCCCGTCTCAATATAGTACAAAATAATAGTGTAACATGTTTTTTTTTGTGAAAAAGTTATTTGATATCATATTCTTATGCACCAATTTTAACATAATATATAGCATCATGGGTTCCATATAACTCACCTCTTATTATAAATACATTTTAAATGCATAGAATTTAAAATATTTTAATAGCATTTTTATAATTGTTCAATTTCAACAAAATTTGATTCAGATAATTAAGGTATGGTTGAATTGACAAAAATTACATTCTATATAAAATTATTTACGGTATAGTGAATATATCTTACATCGAAAATTATTATAAACACAAGTAAAACAAATAGTTTTTTTTTTTTTTTAATTAACAAGTGTGGTTTTCAATTCATTTGCAACCCTATCCTCAAAGGAAACCCTCACAACAGCAATATGTGGATTCCGTTTTGCAGCCAGCCACAAGTGTTCACTTTGAACCAATCATAATATTTGTCATAGCATTATTTTTGGTAAACAACAGCATCACTAATTCCATTGACAGGTCCGCATAACTTAGAATAGCATGGTGCAGATAGGAGATGAGCATGGCTTACATTATAAAGTAATTCAGAATATATCAGGAATTTACAACAAATACATCTTAATATTTTCCCTACCTTTCTGATAAATTAACTTTTTGGCTTCCTCTTCCATAAAACAATTCTGAGGACTGATAAAATGACTTGCTATAAATGATAAAACCATAGAATTTATGCATACAAAATCAAAATTAACAGGCAGAATTCTTAATTACAAATTCAGAAAGTGGCAAAAGCATGCTTTGAAATAGGACTTCTTAAGTTGGATTACATGTAATAAGATTAATCCATCCATACAGCATAAAGAAAACTGCCAATTTGATGGTTCAACAGCTAGGTTCCTACACATAGGTCGTTACAGTATGAGGGAGGAAAAGCGAAAAAGGAAATGAATTCAGAAACTCATCTTGAAGAAGGTTATGTTCTCCAATAAGACAGACATCTTGATTTATATCTTATAGACATCATTTGGGCTCTTTTGGAAAATGTAGCTTGATAAGTGCAGGAAGTTCTGCTAACTCCACCTGAGGTTTCCCCAACAAAATACTTTTTAGCTTTTCATCACAGTTGACCACATTCTTGTTGTTTGGATCCTGCACAATTAATGAAACAATTCATTTTATTCACTCTATGGAAGCTACAAATTGATATAAAAATAAATAAACCCAACCCATAAAACATCATAGCCAACACAACAATTGGATATGTGCATTTTACAAATTTATAAATTTCATCTACATAACTATACAAACTTCAGAATTACAAAAGTTCATATAACAGTTCAAAAACTTCAGACAGAGATCTCCTCTAATTTGGACTAATATGTTGATAGTGCATAGCCCAAATAAGAACACAGACTAGTGATTTGTTGTCTTGCACTCTTGCCTCAACCCATGTATACAAGTCAACAACATTTTGCTCAGTCCTACTGTAAAATTAAAGCTACAAGAAAGCATATCTTAGCCAAATTAACACTTAAAGATCAACTATAGGTCAATGTTTAAATTGGTGGAAAAGAATGGAATGGAGTAAAATGAGCAAAGTTCCATTGTTTGGATTGTTTAAAATAGGATGAAATGGAATGGAACATAAAAGAACTCATTTCATTGCAATTCATTCAATCAAATACCCTTTTTCTTCTCTTCCAATTTTGGGGTATAGTACCGCACCCTTTTTTTCCCTTTCCAACATAAAAATACTCAACAATAACTTTATTCCAATCCATTCCATAGCATCTCATTTCATTCAATTCCATTCCACTCACTATTACATATTCAAACATAGCCTAGGTATATCAACATTGAATTGCTGAACTAACTCACAATGATCCATTCCCATTATTCGTTATTTCTACTTCCTACCTGAATTAATCACTACCACTCCACAAAAAAGAGAAAGCACTATATATTTTAAGCAACGTCCCAAATCAAAACCCCTTGAATGGTTTAGAAAAACCCTTCAATAAACACTACTAGTGAATAATTCATTGAACAAGCAATTCATATCATAGTGTCATCACAAGTAACTTTGGCATAAATTTTATAAATTTTCAAAAGCAAGGAAAAAAGAATCTAATTTCACAATAAGCAAGAATTGCATTTAATTTTTAAACAGAAATATGAAAATAAAGAAAAAGAAAAGAGGAACCTGAAGATTATTGGTTTTGATGTAGGACCAAACGCACTTGAAACAGCCCAAACGAGAAATCTGAGACTGACCTACGAATTCTCTGAGAGTGGAAGGAAGGTTGACGAGGTCAATCAAGTTTGCAAGCTTCTTTGGGTTATCAGTGATCGCTTTCTTCATGCGTTGTGGAAGCATTTTGCTTTGAATTTGTAAAAATCAATGGCTATGGCCAATAAAAAATCGAATTTGCGGGAGAAAGAGAGAGTTTGAAGATTGCTACAACTACAAAATGGAAATTGAAGCAAAAGGTGTTGTGGTAAGAGGAACACGAATACACAGGTAAAGGGTACAATGGTGAGGAAGGAACAAAGTGTGTGTGTGTGTGTGTGAATACACTAAAATTACGAATTATTAAAATGTCATTTTAACATTTGGACTTATAAAATATCAATCATTTTAGGTATTAAAAAATGTTTTTCTAAAATTTAAAAATTAAAGTAATCATTATTCTTAATTTTAATAATAATAGTAAATATGTTTTTAAAGACAAATTAAATTTAAAACAATCAATCTCATATATTAGAAATAAAAATGTTACAATAAATTGTTTTGACATTTTTAAGTATTTTTTTTATTATTTGAAAAAGTACTATTTTAAAAGTAATTGTATAATCTTTGTCAGTTTTAGTATTTGAAACAAATATACAATTTTTCAAAGTTTTTAAAATCAAATCCAAGATTGAACTGGAAAACATCCGAATCATGATTTAAATGATTTAATCAGTAAAATTTGTAGTTAAATTGTAGTTTAATTAGAGAAATAACCGGTTCATACTTCATAATCCAGTGGTGGATGTAATAAGGTTTCCTGAGAAATATATGTGGGATTCAAAGTTAATTCATTTTGAATTAATTGAATTCAAAATTTAATTATATATTTAAACCTAGTAAGATTAGGCAGAAACTGATCCCTTATTTTTTGTCAACACTTTTATATTCTTTTTCCTTACACAGTAACACATGCAACTCCATTTACTTCACTTAATAACTTCAGTAAAGACAATAAAAGATATATGCTCAAGTTGCTATTTTTTTTTTACTTTTGCTTTTTCATGGTACAAATATAGTGTGTATTTTAAAATTTTATATGATTTTAATATGTATACATCTATCTTTGCATCATAATAATTATTATTAAATCTTATATTTTTCATTAAATTCCCACCAGTGATTTAGGATCCTAAATCTGCCACTGTAAATAACTCATCTTCATTGAACAACAAAACTCCCTTCTACAAGGAACCCGATTAGTACACGTTTTACAAGCTTCTCTCTTATAAATTATTTGAAAAAATGGTAAAGCATATTTATATTAATATGCACCAGATGATACATAAAGATCACATAGACATGTACATTACTGTGCTTGTATCATTCTGTCCCAATCTAGATTGCCAACAAACTTAGCCATAGGGATTCCTAAAAGTCTTCAAAAGGTTAGGAATATCATGAGCAAGCATGTCATCCACTGCTTGTATCATTCTTGGTTTCAATTTCTCAAACTTGTCAAAGTTGTAACCACTCAAGGTCTCTTTGAAGTGCTCAACATTAGGGAAGTCACCAGGTGGTAGATGGAACTCCCTTTGTACCTGTTTAGAATTTTTGTTACACATTAGCATTTCAATTTTCAAGCATATTACCATAGCTACACAGACAAGTGAGCAGAAAGAATATAGAGTCAAATTCATACCTTTGCAAATTCAGTTTCCATATTATCAATGAGCTTTTTCTGAGCTTTAGATTTGCCAATCATAGCAGGCATCTGCTTCTTAAGATGACTAATAATATAAGCATGTATCTTGGCAGCTCTGGCTCGTTTAACAAATTCATTGATCTACAATTTATACACAAATGTAATCTTAATTGTGAATGGAAGCAACTTCAATAAATAAAAGCCATTCGGCGATTAAGGACATTGAAATTCTAGAGATCAGATAATAACCTGTAATAGCAGCTACAAAATCTATACCAAATAAAAAATAATGGTCTACTACATCAAACTTTTGTAAGCACAAAATGACACTTCAAGCACTGAGGATATTAATTTTTTACCGAATAATAGTGCTTCCACCAACAAAAATTATTAAAAAGAAAGTTTGTATGAAAAAGTACTCTCATATCAATATGCCGGTCATATCTTTCATTCTTCACATTTCAGAATATATTTTAAGTGTTAAATTCCAAAGATGATTCCCATCGAATAGTGTTGCTAACACAACACATTTTAAGCATAAATAATCCTATTTTATTGGGAAACATGAAAAACATAAAGCAAATAAAAGACTCACTTTTCTATCACAAGCCTTCTTTGGTATATCTTTCAGATCTGAAAGAAGGTCATCCTGTTCTTTTTCAAAGAGTTCATTACCAAGAGGACCATTGACGTCATCGTTTAGAGGCTTGTCGTTGAAGGAGCTGTAAAAATGAAATTGATCACAGATTCACAGGAAAGCACAAGGCAGCTCAAAGCAACCAATGAGAAGAAGTGAAATCATATCTAAATTGCATAGGAATATGTACAACTGAAATGAAAATCAGAAAAAATAAGAGAAGCAACTTCATGACATGCCAAAAGTGCTAAACGCAAAACAAGAAAATGTTATAAGCCAAAATCAGATCAAAACCAGTTCTCCATGTCAAAGACAAATTTTAAGATTGATAATGGAATGCAGATACATGCATAAAGTGACCTTACCCAATGTACACCCGTGAGACCTCAGGAACATTCAACACCTTTCCAAGTGACCACATTAATGCACCATAAATCCTCATTAGCTGCAAAATTTGGCCACACAAAGCATACAGGTCAGATTTCCCAAGACAATGTTACTATAGATTTGTTAAGAAAACAAAAAGAAAATTGATCACACGTTATGCTCTTACTTGTTGTGTATCAACTTGGTCTGCTTTGTTTAAAACCACTCGAATTTTGTCATCATGTCCCCGAAGAGATGCAATTACACGCTTGAATTCATCACTGACATCAAGTTTGTGCGGATCAAACAGAAGGAGTATTAGATCACACTTAGCAGCAAACCAAGATGTTACTCCTGTAAAATCATATTGTCTTTGTGTCCTTTGCTTTTCTCCAGATAAAACTCCAGGGCTGTCTACAAATGTGATATGCTCCAGAAGCTTTGGGCAATTGATAGAAAAAAAAAAGTTACATATGCTACCAAAGGAAAATCTCCTAATTTTGTTTCAATGGATATAGAGAAACATACAGGATGAGGCATTTGAGAACACTCAAACTTGGACAAAAATGCTGTGCCAAAAGATGTGAGACCACCAAATGGCATGTCTGCTTGGACAGCAACGGTATTGCCGGGAATACTTCTCTCATCAGGACCAGACTGTGTAGATAGAACAACAATTAGATTTTCACAATCAACACAACAACTGATTTTCCTATATAACTATCATTTTAAGAAATCAAACACTGCTAAAACTACTGTATAAACCAAGGACCACACACATATGACAAAAGCCTAGCAATCTCATTAGCAGCTTTGGCATTTTGATTATCAACTCAATAAACCATGAGTAATTTCAACAAATAAATTGGTACAAACCCCAAGATATCTCAGACATTTTCATTTCAAAATGTGATATCTTTGAAATATAATTATATCCAAGATCAAGCACTAACATATAAGTCTGCAAGAAATTTCAGTGAAACAATTTCAAAAGACATCCTTCTCAAAAATTTCTTAGTGTGAAGCTTGCACTACTTCACATAGAATTCATTTCCTTCCATTCTGTCAATTAATGACACGAGACAACCTAACAATTTACTCACTCAAAGAGAATAAGCCTTTCAAGAGATAAGATTTCCTCAACCACACTTTCATATTTACAAGTCAAAAACATTCAGGCAGTAGAAACCTTTTCTCCCTTTCTCTCTCTCTCTCTCAATCACTTAGAATTTTTCTATTTCACATAATATATCTGTGACAGTATCCATCCAATGCATCTACAATAATATTTATCATCGAGTATCATAATAATAGTTTGATCCTCAGGATTAGAATTGCATATGAATGATCTAAATTTAGCATATTACTGTAGAATTTGAGTTAGAGAAGTAAAATCTCTTAAGAGGATGAAGAATGGTAAAGCATTTAGCCCTAATAATATTCCTACAGAAGTTTGAAAAAGTTTGGAAAAACAAGGACTAGAGTGACTTACTAAGCTCTTTAATGAGATTTTAAGATATAAGAACATGTCAGATAAATGGAAGAAGAACGCTTTAGTTCTTATATACAAAAACAAGGGTGACATCTAAAATTGTGCATTCTATTGAGCGATTAAACTTATGAGTCACATTTTAAAAAGGTGATTGAACATAAAATACAGGAAGAAAATGATATTGTAGAAAATCAATTTGGTTTTATACGAGAAAGGTCTACAACAAAATTATATATCTTTTATGAAAGATAATGAAAAAATATCACTAAAGAGAAAAGGACTTACACATGAATTTTATTGACCTGAAAAAGACATATAATTGAGTACCAAGAGAAGTGATATGGAAGGCTTTAGAAAAGTAAGGGATCCATGTAACATATATTCAGGGTATAGAAGACATGTATGAGGAGATAACTTCATGTGTGAGAACTTTTGAAGGTATATTTAAGGACTTTCCAATTAGAATAGGCAATCAAGGCTCTTCTTAATTGTTTAATCTACTTTGCATATGATATTGTGTTGATTGAGGATTCGAAAGAAAAAGCTAATGCTAAACTTGAGTTATGGAGAAAGACTTTAGAATTAAAGATTTTTTTTTGAGTAGTAGTAAGACAGAATATATACATTATAGGTTTAACAAAAAATAAGATGAGGATAAAAAATGATATTATACAACAAGTTTCCAATTTTAAGTATTTAGGATCAATTATACAAAATGATGAAAAAATTAATAAAAATGTTATTCATAAAAAACAAGCTAAGTGGTTAAAATGAAGAAAGTCATCAGAAATTACTTGTGATCATAAAGTACATATTAAGTTGAAAGAAAACTTTTACTATATTACAATATGACTAACTATCCTATATAGTAGTGAATGTTGAGTCTTAAAGAAACAATGTGAGAAAAATATAAGATTAAAAAATGAGAATGCTAAGGTGATGAGTGGACACATAAGAAATGACAAGATCCAAAATAATAGTATACCAACGAATATTAGAGTAACACCTATAATGAAAAAGATGACTGAAAATCGTTTAAGATGGTTCGGTCATGTGCAAAAAAATATTTGAAAGTGTCAGTAAAATAAGTGGATTGCTTGATTCTTAGTATGGTAAAAAAGAGTTGAGAAAGGTCAAAAGAACCTTAGACAAAGTTATTAAAAAATACTTTTTGATTAATCAGATTTTTTTAAAATTTGATTTTTGATCAAGCTTAATGACGTTGTGTGATCTATGTAGTCAATATCACCCGGTGAAATAAGGTTTGGTTGTTGTTTTTGTATCATAATAATACTGTTATTTCATTTTATTTGAACAGACATGAAACTGTGACCCATTATTTGCATTTCAATTTGAAATAAAAATGCTCATTCTAAGTTTCTTATTGCAAGCTTAAGCTTTAAAAATTAAAATAACAAAAACATAAAAAAAAAAAAATCAGAAACTTGCTCTTGTGACCAATAATCCACTATTCAAAGATGTTGAATCGTGCAAGGAATTAGAAATTTTAATATATGGTTTAAAAGCTTTGGCACATACCATGACAACAACAAACCTATCAGTTGTTGGCTCTGGTCCAATATGAGCTCCTAATGACATTTATGAGAAAAATTCATTAGCACATATTGCATAACAGATATGAGCAGTCCACACTCCACATAGATATTACCCACGTCAAAGTCAAGGCTAGGGAATCACTTGCCTGGATAATTGGATTTAAGCATATGTCTAATAAATGTTGTTTTCCCAGTTGAGTATTGACCCAAAAGCAAAACCATAGGTTTGGCATCAAAATCACTATTTGTCTGCAGTTAGTAAGGAATAGCAATCAATAGATAAGCTAATAGCATATCTTTCTCCATATATAAAACTTGGTCACAATATGACAGAATAAACAAATGACGCAAAATCTAGAGTAGCTTTCTCAATTAAACGAAAACAAACAGAATCACATACTGACCAGGAGAGGAGATACAAAATCATTAAAGCGGTAAGTAACTTCTAAAGGCTTCAACTTCTGAAGGTAAAGTCTCTTCAAACCATCTATAACTGATGTCACTGAGGAAGCAGGCACCTATAGACATATGCACACAAGCGAAAAAACTATATGAATGCACTTGAAAAAATTTAAAAACTAACAATAGCATGGAAATAGCCAAAAACAGATATAAGAACCTACTCAAGAACATTTCTAGACTAATATCAGAAACCAAATTATAAAGATATGAGAAAGAAGCAAAAATTTAGAAGTCAAAAACAAGATATTTACAATTCCAAGGTGTCATCTGTTCAGTGTAAGAACATTTACTAGTACTAGCTTATGTTGCTTACAAACATACAAGTACAGCGACATGGTTGGTTTCAGTACCCTAATATTGCCTAAATCCAAATTCAATGAAGCATGGACATTTCAAAATTTTCCCTGTTGACATGTCTATTTTCAGTATCCATGCTTCTTGGTGCAATACAAATTCAATCATAAAATAGTGAGCTATAGTTCCAAATAAATCGCAAAAGTTCTCAGATCCTGTACAGGTTGCAAAAAACTAATACACAGTTCAAAGATATATAGATTCAGTTGATCTATTCCTCTATCCCATCCATGAGTCTGACCTGCTGGATTCTGAATCGTAGATTTAAAATTATTAAAAAGAAAATGCAACAAAAGATGAAAAATATTAAGCAGCTCCAGAATAATAAATCTATGCGTTTTATAATTGTTATACAACTCATAGCACCTGAAAAATGCAAAGCAATTTAAACCAAACTTCCAATCCCTAAAACATTTCAAAATCTTGATGATGCAAGCCCAGAATTTCGAAACAATCAGAGTAAGAGTAACAGAATGAATGGACCCAAAAAGAATAAAAAAACAGTAACAGAATGCTTACCTTTTTTACTGACTTTGAATCAAACCAATTACTTGAGGGTGATGGCTGAGGACTAACTGCATTATTCCAATCAGTGAATATGGAATTTCAAGACAAAGAAAAAGAGAGAAATAAAAAGCCAAAAGCAATATGAATTCTCTTAATCAATAAAATGAGGTAAATATTACCATTCAAATGTTTATCTTTCTGTTTATGCCTTTTCTTCTGCACAAACAAAGCCAAGTAACGCTAAGTACTGTCATTAAAGTGAACATAAAGTATTAACATAAAAAGGAAATACTTACTGCAAGTAATGCATCCAAACCTTCCATTCTAGGTGGTTTTGAAAATTGTAAAACTGAAATAATAGAAGTTAAGCATCTGTTAGGCAGCTTTTATAAGATAGACATTAATGAGCAACAAAATTCACATTGCAAAGTCTTTTACCGATACAGATATACAGTTATTCAACAAAACAACAGAAGACAAACGTAAATGTCCAGAATTTACCATCTCTACTCAGCATATCATGTGATATTGGGCGCCCAGATTGTCCCAAAGAAATGAGCTATAAACCAAATGGATTGGGTTCAGGAAATTGGTCAGCATTAAGCTTCAATGAAGCACAGTTTCTAATGAAAAGAAAAATTCTTCTCTTACCTGCATAGCGATGACAAAGTCTTTGAAACCAAGATATCCTTCTCGTTTTGAATCTGCAATGGCCCACACCTTATTTTAATAAGGGGGGAGCAACAAAGGAACAATTTAGTAACAAGGAAGAAATAAATGAAAGACCATAAAAACTATCAACTAGGACAACTCATAGAACAAATCAACCATAATTGTCTACATCAAATCTAATGGAGACATAATGCATCGAATCCAAACTAGTATTTACATAAGTTTGTAAGAGTTCAGAATCGATCTATTATCAATGTAATAAGCATCATTAATTGCAAAGTGTTATGCCTTAACCTGCTTGAGTTCTTGCCGAGACAAGTTTGACATGGCAAAAAATTTGATGGCTTCATTCCCCGTGAAACGACCATCCCCATCTGAAAACACCGAAATTCCCACCAACCCAATTATTCACAAAGAAGGTAAACAAAAACACAAATTTATTTTGCACAGAAACCACGTAAAGGACGAAATGGACTGGTTAAAAGGATAAAACTCAAGTGCAATTCCTTATGTAGTTTGATGTTATTTTTCAATCAAAAATTGGAAACCGTCAAAAACTTGTGAACGCTTTTAACTTTTAAGGCCAGAAAAGCAACACCCCAGAAATTTCAATTAACATAAATGACAATAAAGAGTTCAAAAGAAGAACCTTCATCTGCATAATTGAACCACTCTTGATAAAGGTTCTGGTGATCTGTGGAATATGAACCGTATGGTACGATGTCAAGTTCCATGATGTATTATGAAATTGAAAATTATGGATTTTTATGATCTGGGGTGAGAGAAGGAGAGGTTGCAGATGCAGAGGGATGGTCACACGAGAAAGGGTTCCATTGGTGGGGTTGCAAGCCTGAAATGGCACAAACATGGTGCTTTTATACTTAACGTTGGTGCATGAGAATCTATAATTTAAATTTTCGTTAATAACTACATGTGAACGCGCCAAAGTAGGGAATGGTCATGGTGTTGCTTTTTCCTTAAAATTGGGTCTCTCAAAGGGTTGTCAAAATTAGAAAATAAGTATGGCTTATTTAGTAAGACTTACATGAAAGTTCACCAAATAACAAGAGATGCTAAAAATAAAATTATCAAAGAGTGTGTTACTAAAATTTAAGTTGTTATACATTAATGTGATTTCAATAACTGGATTATTATCAAAGCTTGTCTTTATAATTTTAATTTCAATTTTGTTTTGTTTTGATTTTTCAAAATAAAAAAATCATGAATTTGTACCTCTTCTCAATTATGAGCTATATTTTGAGGTTCCAAAAGCAAAACCAAACATGCTACAAGTCCTCCCATGACAAAAAAAAAAAATTAAAATAAAAATAAAAGAAGTGCATGTTTGGATGCAAATTAAAATAATATGTATACACATTTCAGATTCATAAGTCAGTGTTTGATTCAGATATAAAGACTTTGTCCCAGTATCTCTATCTCTGAAACAAACGCTACTGAAGCTATTCTTAATTTCCTTAGTATTTCTATAACTGAACTAAATGCTAACTAAGCTACTCCTAATTTCCTTTAAAAAAAGGGCACATTTACCACTTTCAATCTTTGAGCCAAACATGCCATAATTATTAAGGGACAAATTTTTTTTATTGAAAAAAATAAAAATAGGATTAAATAGTTCTTTTAAATATATTTTTTTTATTTTGCAGTGTTTTATTTTTCCTCATCATTTTACTTCATGATTGAATTTTGTTTTTGTATTGAAGTTTTTTTTTTTTTAAATCACGCCAACTTTTTGTATTTTTTAGAAATAAATTTAAGAAAACATTAATTATTATTGAAAATTAAATTTTAAAATCCATTTTAATTTATTTTCTGGAAGGGTGGTAAAAAAGAAAAAGATATTTGGTCAAAACTTTATTCCCATTAATCTATCTGTTTTATTTTTATGTTTTGGTCCAGGTCCACGAATTTGGTGTGGTGTTAGGCTTAAAGGATGGGCTAGCTTAATTGGGCCAAAAAGCCCAATAGTTTTCAGTGACGGAGAGCCCAATAAAATCAATTGAAAAGAACGAAACGGCAACGCTTTTTGTTTCTCCATATTTTCAGTTTCTCAGTGTCTTCTTCGTTAGATCGATCTCATAGACTTACCGGTGACTCCATCTCGCTCCACCGTCCACGGCATCTCCGGCCACCACCTTTTGCTCCCCTAGACACTTTCTCTCTTCTACTTCAGGTTCCTTTTCAATTCTCTCTCTCTCTCGATCTGTTGAAATTTCAACTTAGATCTTCAGATTTCGTTCCCATTTCACGATTCTTCCTATTCATTGGAAAGCGCTATTTTTTAGGGCTAATTTTATCAATTAAACTACCCTAGGTATTTTCTCGAATTTGTTTTTCTCCAGATGCTGTTCTTTCACATATAAAAAAACGTATTTTTCCATTTTTTCGGTTCTGGGGTTTTGGTGTTTCTAATTTTTCGAATTGTTTGCGATTCTTTCATCAATTATCGATCAAGCCTTGCACGAAATTTTGTTTCACCTTTTTAATGCAAAATTCGGTGGAAATCTGTGTCAAATTAAAAAGCTTTGCCTGGATTTTCAACTTTTCATCTGCTTGTGAATATAGGGTTTTAGTTTTGGGTATTATGTTATGGTTCATTGATTCATAATCAGGCAAAGTGAATTTTGTTATATAAAGCTTGAATAGCTACTTTCTTGGAAAATAATATATATTCTATGTAGATTGTATTGAAATTTGAATCTTATACATATACTTTTGTTCATTCAATATCTTTTATTTTAGATTATTGTTACTTTCATAACATTGTAAGTGACCAGTTAATAGAGGGTTTAGTTTAATTTGGTATAGTATAGTTTAATTTAGTTTAGGTTTAGGTTAGTTTCATTAGCAAAATGGTTGCTTGAAACTAACTGTTTGAATCTTTATGTCTATGTTGATAGCAGAAATATGCCTTCGCAGAAGGTTGAAACGGGTCACCAAGATACAGTCCATGATGTTGCAATGGATTACTATGGTAAGAGGCTGGCCACAGCCTCATCAGATCACACAATTAAGATAATTGGGGTGAGCAACACAGCTTCTCAGCATCTAGCAACACTGAACGGTCACCAAGGGCCTGTTTGGCAGGTGGCATGGGCTCACCCCAAGTTTGGTTCTCTACTTGCTTCATGTTCCTATGATGGGCGTGTCATTATTTGGAAGGAGGGTAACCAAAATGAATGGACTCAAGCTCATGTCTTTGATGACCACAAGTCATCTGTGAATTCAGTTGCTTGGGCACCTCACGAGTTGGGTCTATGCTTGGCTTGTGGCTCTTCTGATGGGAATATATCCGTTTTCACTGCAAGGGCAGATGGTGGCTGGGACACCTCGAGGATTGATCAAGCTCACCCAGTTGGTGTCACTTCTGTGTCATGGGCACCCTCAATGGCACCTGGTGCCCTTGTTGGTGCAGGGTTGCTTGATCCTGTACAGAAGCTGTGTTCGGGTGGTTGTGATAATACTGTGAAGGTATGGAAGCTGAACAATGGACTCTGGAAGATGGACTGCTTCCCGGCTCTTCATATGCATACAGATTGGGTTCGAGATGTTGCTTGGGCCCCCAATTTGGGTCTTCCTAAATCTACAATTGCAAGCGCATCACAGGATGGTAAAGTGATTATATGGACTGTGGCAAAAGAGGGGGATCAGTGGGAAGGCAAGATTTTGAATGATTTCAAGACCCCTGTTTGGAGGGTGTCATGGTCATTGACAGGAAACATACTGGCTGTGGCTGATGGGAACAACAATGTGACATTATGGAAGGAAGCAGTAGATGGGGAATGGCAACAGGTGACAACAGTGGAGCCTTAGAATGTGATTTTTCAGGTCTTGCTTATTAATTTGAAAATGGTTAGAGTTTTCATTTTTAAATATAACATCTTGTTTCTTTGCATGTTATACAGTTGATTAATTGTGCTTCATAATACATTAGTTCCTTGATGTTTGTTATCCATTGAGTATTCTGTGCTTGGAAGAATGAAGTTGGTTAGTTTCAGTTGTTTTACTTTATAAGATTAGAAGAATGTTTTACAAGTATATAGTGTGACAATCTCTTCTATTCTGGGAGTTGCATAAATTAATGGCTGTTGGATATAACTTTAGATGCTCGTGATTAACCACCATTAGTGGCAGTGCATGTCTAGGTAGGGGTCAATGATCTCTCTTATTTTACAATTTACAGGGTTTATAGTATACTTCATAAATCATTATGCTTTATGCTCTTAAAATCTGTCTGTGCTTCCAGAAGTGCGTTTGATGTATGGTAAGATAATGATTTACTTATAATATAGACAAAATCAGAGCGGTATAATGAGTTTGCTCTCATATTTCTATCAAGTTAGCCGAACAAATATATGCCTGTTGCTATAGGATTTATATGATTGTTAAGGCAAGATTTTGGTTTTCTCTATGCATTAGAAGAAAGCATCCCGTTTTTGTTTATTCACAGGACAAATTTCTAATGTTCTTTATATGCCGCTGCATGCACATAACCGCTCTTTCTTACGTTGAGGTTTAAGATCTCTTTAAAATTCGAGGTGAAAATTTAAGATACGGCTTTTAATGTAAAGTTTCATATAAAATATGCCCTAAATTTTTTTATATAGAAACACTGTAAGTAAACGAATGCCCAAGAATTCTCTAAAAAAAAAAAAGTGTGTACGGTAAAGGTATGCTATACATAAATGTAAAGCTGGAATTAATGCAGAAATTTACGAGGCAAAAAATAAAAAGTAACTGGTAATTATAATAATAACCCGTGAACACAGGATAATCGTTCAAAACGAAAAAAGAAATAAATAAAAAGCTCCTAAAATAAGACGATGAAACAAAATCTTACAAAAGTAAATTGAGGTGTCTTCGGTTTGTTTCTTATTTTTATTTTCAATTGATATATTTATGTAAATAGATATAAAAATGTTATGTTATTTTTACTTTACTTTTATTTTTAAAATTTACCAAAAACAATGAAAATAAGAAACAACGTGAAAATGAGATAACATGATTATAATTATTAATAAAAATATATTAATTAAAATAAAAGTACAGAACAAACAGATACAATACTAACTTCTGATCCAATTTGAAACGCTATCAGCTGGCAATTGGCTGTGGATCAAAGATAAGGGATTCCACAAACCACTCTTTGGAGACCATGATTCATTCATACACTACAATGAAACCTTCAAAAAATATTCTTCAAGAAATGCCTATGGTTTTCCCAAGCAGCCAAAGAACTAGCGACAGTTCAATACCGAATATCGTGTGGAGCGAACTCCTATCCAACATGAACCCAAATACTGTAATCCCTGCCCTGTTGTTCTCGAAGTAATTTACTGCAAATATGATAAAATAAATAAAACGAGGGTAAAACTTGAACACATTCATAATAAATAGCCATGATATGATGATTCAACAATCATGTTCATTCATTTTAAAATAATACATAAAAATATTACTTTAGATTTTTTTGGGTTATACCTCAAGGAATATATTATCTTATTTTTCTTGCATTTTAACCTTTATAAATTAAAATCTAAGATAAGTGTCCGAGGGATTAGGTACAGGATGAGCTGTTCTTCAAAAGGTAGAAGTTTGAATTAATTTTACTTTTATAAATAATATATTTTTTAAGTTCCTAAAAGTTTAAAGGATATTATTTTTCAAAACTAAGCTACATCCAAATTTGGATTCCAACTTACATTTTAGGTTACGTGCTTAACGAATAAACTTATATAATATAGAGAGTGACTTAGCAGATTGCTATTTCATACGGTGATTAAAGTACTATAGTCAACGGAGTAATAAAGGCCACATAATATTGACAATAATTAATGTTTATCATGATGTGTGAGAGTTTGATCTTAATTCAATCCTTCTATTTTTTAGTTAACTTGATTTAATTTTTTTGTTTCTCAGTAAAAGATAATTAGAAAAATATAATAATAGGGTGTGAGAAATTTACCAAGAGCTTGTCTCTTCTGATATGAGATGGTGCTGTAAGCATAGGATGGGATAAACTTAGTGGTATCAATCTCATCTTCTTCATCACCTGCTTCATCAGTTTCTGATTCCCCATCTGTTCCCACATTAGGAAAACTTCTTTCATGGGAATTCTGAATCACCATTGGTGTGTCACCTTCTGTTGCTCCATCAAAAGAATCCAACGTAGCACAAACATGCCACTTGGCAGCAAGCCCTGTGATGGCTTGTGCTTTGTGTGTTATCTTTGTGGCACTACGTAACAATATGCAAAGCGCAGAAAGGAGAGTGACTGAACACAACTGCAAAGATTATAACCCTCCACAAAGTTAGGTCCCGTTTGGTTTCCCTTGTTTCCGTCGATTACTAAATGTTTTGTTCCCCTTTTTGTATTGTCTTTTAATTTTTGATTACTTTATGAACTAGATATGAAGGAACATGAAATCAATAATAGGATAATGCCTAACTTGAGCAAAGGAACAAGAATGCAATCACGATTGCATATAATTGGACACGTCTTCATCTAACCTCAAATTATTTAAGTCACATCAATTTTTATTTATTGAACTCAATGAAATCTTGTATGTACAGCTAAGAAAGGTGGGCGCGTACATGTGTAAGGTTATAAAAAAATATGAAGAAATAAAATAGCTTTTACAATTGTGTTCAATAATATCATGATGTGTCATTTGATGTTATGATACATCGAAGGTTGAAACATAACGCTTCACATTTTTCAAATTTATTAACAAATATGCCAAATAAATAAAACATTCTATCATGCTCAAAAGTGTAACTTTATCCTGTTAACAATGTTAGATTACTTTTGATCTACGTATATTCAATCAAATAATCAGAATACAAATTAAAAATATCTACTATTTCAAAAACATTAAAAAAAAAGCTATACAATATTTGTTTTTGAATTAATTAAGAATATTTAAAAGAATTATTTAATGTCAGTTAATATATGTCTTTAATATAAGACAGAATATTACAAAATTAAATAAGAAAAATATTAAAAATAAATAAAAATAAAAGAAGCAGCTAAAGGGTGGGGACATACCGCAAGCTCGCCGGTTTTGTAGATGTTAACATCATGTGTAGGCTTAGTTGTGACAAGGAGGCACGCAAACTGACTTCCAGTGACCAATAAGAGGGCGAGTAGTATGAACGCGCGAAACCTGTGGCTTATGATTCGCAAGTGCCTCCTGATCCTAAGGTGTTCCGACATCACCGATGCCACGTCAGAGTCCACGTGGAAGAATCTGGCGAAGTCGCGCAACCGTAGGATCTGGAGATGACAGTTCAGACGGAACAGAACGCACACTAGGAAGATCACTGTGGTTCGGTACAGCCATGACCACAGTTCCAATATGCACGCTACCGCATCGCTCACGTACACGTTACCCAAGAAGGGAATTTGTGAGGCTCCAGATGCGTACCACCATATCTTGTATGCAACCTCAGCCACGAAGCATGGCCCCACAAACACTGACAAGATCTTCACTGACCTCTGTACCCCCACAAACAAACACAATGGAAACAATGCTTAAATTGCATATAGTATTTGTATCACTAATATTAAGGATACGTCATTGCTTTTATTAGTTTATTTTATCCATTAGTATTTTTCTCATTTATATTGACTTTGTCACTTACTATTAATGTGATGTGTGATGTATCAGTCTTGATGTTGTGCATCAAAGATTTTATATTGTTCTTGAGAACATGTTATGATGTTTCATTTTCCGTATGAAGATTGATCCAATTCTAATACATTGTATAGGAATCAATGCATTGTAAAAGATGGTATAAGAGAAAAGAAGGTGCACCCAACAAGTTTTAAAATTCTTAGAGAACAGTTTCCTTATGCTTTGCATGTTTCTAGCTGATACTATGGAAGGAATCGCCAAAATACATGGCTCTAGGGTAATTTTGATACTTTAATATGAATATTAAATTGTCCAACAATAGCTACGATTATCAACATTTTATTCCATTTTCGGCTAAACATATATATAAAACATGAAAAAAGTAATGTTCAGAAGAAGTCTTCTTGAAGCTGAGAATAATTAATTAGCACTACAAATTTCCAGCTGTTTCCATTAGCTAATATACATCATGTTTGTCAACATGGGGCAGTTCAAATCGTAATGTTTCAATAGTTATGACTTCAAGCTTTTGTTTCCATGGATCAAAGCTTAATCGAATATCATTCTTTTTTATTAACGAAAAATAAAATTATAACTACTTTTAGAATAAAAATTACCTTTTATAATTACCATCAAATATCTAAAATGTAAATGACATATTTATTTAAATTATTTTTTGACTTTATTTTAAAAAAATTAAGGTTTGGAAGCAAACGAAAAAAAAGGTGACATGGAATAAAAATGGAAGGAGAGAGTGACATACATTGAGCTGTGCCATGTAGTTCATTCTAACGGTCTCGCTCTCATCGCAAAGCTTGTCGAAGAAGAGAAACCTTCGGAGACCATACTTCCTAACGAAGCTTGCGAGGCACAAAAACGACAACGCAGCCACGGAACTCAGAGAAACCTGAACGACGGCGTCGTATGGACGCGAGTGGCGTGCGTCGCATGAGTCACATGCCAGGAGGAAGTGTGACGCGGCGGGGACGGCGATGGCGAAGAGGAGGAAGACGGACCAAGAGAGTGCGGCCGTGAAGGGGTTTGACTGGTCAACGCACATCCACCGTAGGTACGATCGGAAAGTGTGGAACTCGTCGTTCACGTGCGAAACGCTGCGGTTGAACTTGCTTCTTCGGTCCAGTAACGATTCCGCTGCGGTGGTGGTGATTTCACCCATGGTGAAGGTGAATTGTGTTGTGATTTGTTGCGGTGGAATCGTTGATGGAACTTGTTGTGACGTGTGGTGTGTTTTTGTGTGGGTATATATAGCTTCGCTGGCATTTCACAAAGGAAAGTTATGTATGATTAGACTCTCCAGTCTCCAATTTTTGGGTATTTAAGGGAGAAGGAGAAAGGAAGACTAAAAAGAAATAACATGGAGTATTATGATTTGAAAAATGACATAAAATAAGCTGTCAATTTATAAAATATTATGATTTTTTGTGTTTTTATAAAATTTTATTCATTTAATAAAAATATATTATTTTAGTTTGTAATAAGGAACTAAATTATGTACTTTTTATATTAAATATTCATATTTGGTAAAAATATATATTTTTATTTTTTAAAATTTATGTAACATCGGCATAAGGTCTTTGAGAATTTTTAGATGAATCTAAATGAATGAAAAAAGAAGAATCTTTTTCTTTTGTACGAAAAAGTTTAAGATAGGAAGCTTTTGTTAGCTGAAAACTGAAACTTACATAAATATTTAATAAAATAGTTTAATTTCAAGTATAATTTTTTATATTAATAATTAATTCAAAATTATTTTAAATTTTATTTTTAAATTAATTATTACAGAAATTGATAATTTTTTAATTATGTGATCATCTGTGATTAAATAATAATATAAAAAATGCCATTTTTAAATATATATGTACTTTTAAAAATTTTAGTTTATTTTGTTTGGTTCACCAGTTAATTAACTTGTTTATTCTAGGAGAGAAAATCAATTTGGTGTGTGTGAATTTTAATTTCATGTTTCTTTTGTTTGGATTTTCTGTAAAGAAGTGGTGGTGTAGCATGGGGATAAAAAAGAGAGTAAAAATGGCAAGATTTGATTGGTGATGGAGGGGGAATGTAGGTTTATGATCTGGCTGATCATGTAACTGGGATTTTTAATGTAAAGTGTGTGGAACTGTCCACATGACATCAAAATGCTAATTTGGATCTCAGAATGGGGTGCTCTAGGTTATAATTAATAATATTTAAAGAGTTAATCTTGGAGTAACATTTTTAAGTTCTTTTGAAGAAATGTTTATATTTTGGAAAAATTATCTTTGCACATTATAATTTTGAATAGTAAAAAAAACTATATTTAAAAAGCTTGAAAAGAAAAAAAATTGTATCAAAATAAACTAATAAAAATGTTACAAATATACTTTTTAATCGCACTCTTTAAACACATTTCAATCAATACAATTTCTTAAGACTCATAAAATTTTAAGTGAAACACAATAATTATGAATAAACTCAAATAATATGATTTTATTAATACCATAAAGGCGAGCTCACAAAATTGACTGAATTAATCTCACTTGTAATTAATGAATTGCTTATTTAAATTTTACAAATTAGAAGCAATATACAAAACATAGTAACAAAAAGTGTTGGAAACTTGCTGACATTTTTAATTGGGTGTGACCCAAAATCATTGTGGAGGTTAACAAAATTAATTATGATAAATTTTGGTCACGATTTGGCATTGATCCAACTTTGGTCGAAATTTTGATATGTCTAATTTTGGTGGCTGATTCTTGATCATAGTGAAGAGTGAAGAACTTATAAATTTGTAAATATGCTTTTCTATATTGAATATTATTCTCACATTATTTTAAATTAGAGAAATCAATGAATGTTTTTTCCCTCAATCACCGCAATCAGAGAAATTTAATAGCAAAAATGACACGAGACCAGCTGGTGGTGGGTCCACCACATGGGAGGCGTAGAGTGAGAATTAGGGCAACCAATGGAAAGCATCCATTAGTATGCAAACAACAATACGTGTAAGCTTAAAGCCCTTACTTTTGTGTATGGTTCTTTTGTCTTAGCAAACCATGAAATCATAAGCAATAAACAAAGGCAATGAACTTGAAACTTGGACAAAGCTCATTTGCAAGATTTGCTTCTTTTGGAGCCATTACACTTCTCCAAATTATTTATAATGCAAATGATTAGTAGACAAGGTGCCAAGCCAGAGCCGTTTTGTGATTGTCAACTAGGCTTGTTCCAAAGTGGTTAATTGTGCTGACAGACACAGAGATCGGCAGCTAGCCCACTTTCACATGCTTTGGATTTAGAATTATTTCAATACATATTTTAATTCAATATTTTTTTACTAATTTTTATATAAAAAATTATATTATACAATTAATTAAAATAGTTTAATTCAAATTATATTAAAAAACTCATGAAAGTAAGTGAAACAACATTATAAATTATTTTTATAAGTTGTTTATAAGTTTAAACAGTATTTAATATAGTTTTCACCTGTTGGTAGCAAATAGGGGGGAAAAACATGTTTCTTTGATTTTGACGAAAACCAACTACTACACCAAATCTGAACTGTAGAAATACGATTGGGGATGGTATCTACCTTCAAGGTTAATCTCTAGATTATTCGTTGGTTTTGCCATATGGATATATTATTTCGTTGTCACTTGCACATTCTTTCATTAGTATCACAATAATTACCTTAAAAATTGTAGGTTAACTTTAAAGTTAATAATACCCCCACACAATTGTATGACAATAGCAAATTTTGGTTTAATTGTACCCTAAAAAAGTAATGTTGTATAATAAAGACTTGTTAATAACAGTGAAACATATCCTTTGCTCTCAAGTATTTTACTTCTTTCCTTTTCTTTTTTATAATCCATAGCTTTCTCATATGCAGTTTTGACAGTTGTAAGTGAGCTGAGAAACTCAATGTTTTATGGAAGCTGAGATTTATTACTTAATCAGAGAAGCAAAATTGATCAACTTGGAGCCTAGTAAGTCAGATTTGGCTGAAAGTGAATTCGTTTTCAGCCTATCATCTCCTAGGCGAAGAAGCAAAGAGTTTTGGGAAGCTACAAAATTATGTATAGAGGCCCAAGTTTGAAAGTGTCATAGCAAATTCGGTATATATTTCCATACCTGACCCAACAACAGCACAAAATAAATAGGCATATGCATAGTCAAGACTCTTAACCATGTTATATTGGGCCCTAGGTTGTTGGGCTCCCTTTAGAAAATTAGTAAATAAATTTTATTGCCTAAGTTTATTTCCATTTAGAAACTCAACCATAAATTATTTCCAAATAAAGTTTTGTTACTCCACAAAAGTGGACCAAAGCCAACATAGTTCAGTCGCGTTCAAAGCCTTTCTGTCATCACTGCATAACATATATCTGTTACACTGTATATCATTTTAAGCATAAAAAACATCATGATAAAGATTATATATATATATACACACAGAAAAAACATCATCATGATCAAGCTAAATAACAAAACGAAGTAATCCAGAACAATAAGTTTTAAATTTATTCAATAAACCTTTAATAACAAGGACAAGTTTACACTTGTTTCACATTACATATCTATGTACAATTGCAAGCAATCGCACACCTAGAGAGTCATGACATCCCCTTCAATCTATATATTTTTCTTCAATTAATCATCACTATTTTTTCCCCATAATTTACCCCCATTTTTATTTCTACTATATATAATATATGATTAGATAAGCCATTATAATAACAACAATTAAGAAATGCCAGAGCCAATTAAGAATTCTTTCTCCTGAACTAGCCCAAAGCATGCTTAATACCACTAATCAAACTCACTTGCACCCACCAGCACCAAACCCTATCCTACCACCACCAAGATCATAAACAACCTCTAGGGTTTTTTGTTGCACATTTCCAAAAATAGTAATATCACTGTCATCTCTATTTGGAGCAAAAGCCAAACACGCTTGCTTTGCACTTGCCACATAAAGTGTTCCCACCGCCGGCAAGTCCACCGCGGCACCGCCAGCAAACACAAAGTTTATCTTTGGAATGTAAACCTCGTCGTATCCACTAAGATCATAACACGTGTCGAATATGGACAACGCACTGGCCATTTGATACTTTGACATGCCCTTTCTAAATTCTGATCGGAGTTCATCATATGCAGTTGGTGGCAACCGTGTGATGACAGTGCCAGAGTCAATGATGGCGCCGCCGGACGAAAAAGTGGAGGAGGAAACAGGAAGCTTGGTGCCGCCAACGGCAATGCCGGTGATGTCAAGGCCGTAGAGGGTGTGGTGACGGGAGAGGGTGGAGAAGGGAGTGTATTTGATGTTACCGATGCCGGCGCCGCCAAAGGTAAGATAGCCAGTTGAACTAGAGGTGGAAGGAAGACAGTAAGAAAAAATTTTGCTATACTTTGAGGATGTTTGTTGCACGAAGGAAATGGGGTGGCGGCCGAGGCCTATTAGGCCAGCGGCGCCGCTGAAAAGGCCCTCATTGTCTTGGCCGCAGCCAAATAAAAAGTTGTCAATTACGTCGGAAGATGTTACCGACAACCGCTCACTGCCAAAGATACCGATGGAAAAAGATTGATCACCATATTGAATGCCGTATATGCATGCCTGTGTCGATGAAGAGCATTTTGGCTCGTTACCTGAATAATAATTGCATCAAAAGTGAAATAATAATCTCATCATATAAAAAACATGTCATCAAATAAAATAAGAAAAAAATGGATCACTGTTATTTATTTCTTGAAATTGTAAGAGTTAATTAACTTAGTTTCCTTTATGAAATCTTTATAATTCTTCTCTTTATATAATGTCATTTATTTTATGTCATCGTTTGCGTATTTAACATTTTACTTTCTTACTTTTATCAACTCTAGCATGCAAATATATTTGGATTAGTCTAATTTAGATTTTTTAGTTTCAATCTTCAAAAGTAAAAGCACATACAACTTAATTAATCATGATTTTGTGGTTAAGTTTTCCATCATATATATGCATCTTGAAATTGAGAATTAAGGGTTTACCTGTAGCTGTAGCGAGCTGAGTGCAGAGTGGAGATTTGCATGTGATGTTGGAATATGATGTAGATTTGGATGGATCAAATATTTGATCTTTCTGCTCGTAGCAAGATTTAGCACAAGGTTGACACTGAGTCCAAGTGAGATCGCTGCCAGTATCGAAAATAAGTGACAAGTCCCTTTTGGGTGTACCAAGACCCACCACCACAAAGTAGTTCCCAGACCCAATAAGGGCACCAGACTTGGCTGGTAGGGTAGTAGAGTCCAATTCCTTCACAGTCTTGTCATGGCCCAAATTCTTAGAGAGCCTTGAGTGAATATATTTTACCCTTTCTTGGTCAAGCCTTAGAATATCACTGTGTGTTGTTCTTCCATCATTATTCAGTTGGGAGCATGGCCCATGTTTGTGTACCACTTCTAATGATGCTTTTCTTTTGGGACCTGAATTTTATTATTAGTGGTGTCAAATCTTTGATGGGTAACCATTACGTTAAAGTTTAAGTGAATATATAACAAAATTGATTTAACATAAAGATTATTATTTTACATTCGACTACGTCAATCCTCTTTTTTTTAGTTTTAGTTAAAAGAAATAGTTATGAAAAATGTTTTGTTTAAAATATGATAAATGAAAATTCATTTTAAATATATTAATTGTTATATCTTTTTATACCTTTATTTATTTGTATTAATAAAGTATTTACTTTTTTTATTATATAAGTTGATGCATTTATTCATTTAAATTTATAACATATAACTATTTTGTATTGATATTAATAAATAAAATATTTATTAAATAGGATTGAAAGTAATATTTATGAAAAATACTCAAAATACATTTTCTAACACATTATTTTTAATATTTTTAAAAAATAATTAAAAATATGTTAAATAATACGTTGCTATCAGGCCTCATTGCTTGTTTACTCTCTCTCTTAGTTTTCTTAATGAAGCAGATACATGATTAATTTCTCAGAACACCAAAACGATTAGACTAGAGAATGTTTTCATGTTCTATATTTGTACCAATATCTACATATATATAAAATAGTACAAAGTAGGTGCATGCATGCATGTAAATAAAAATATTCACCAATGAAGCATAATTAACATATAAATTGGGAGGCAAAAAGAACAGGAAGATTGAATTAACCTGTAGAAGAGCTGCAAGAAGATGATGGTAAGAGAGAGCTAAGATGAACAAGGTGAGAATGTTGATGAAGATTGTTGGTTTCTTTGTTCTCCCTTCTGGTTTGAAAGGCAAAGCCCTTTTCCAAAGAAGAGAAGAAAAAGAGAAGTGTTAGAGAAGCAAAGAGAAAAGAAGGCATTTGGGTGGCCATAACCATAACCCTTGGCATAAGGGAAGAAAGCAAAGATAAATAGCCACTCTTTACAATACAACACAGCACACTGTGTCGGGTGCTTGGCCTTTCTAGGCTAATTCATCAATGGAGTCCAATGGATTATCAATTCTTACACGTCCCCCATTAAATATATATATATATATATATATATATATATATATATATATATATATATATATATATATATATAAGATAACACTATTTCATTAACATTAATGAGCTTCATTATTCCTTGTCAAGTGAGTTGGGAAGCTGAGTATATAATAAATACTTATTTTTTTAAAATAATAATATTATATACTTGAGACTAACCTATTAATATTGTTACTTTTAATAAAACCTTGTGAATCCGCGTTGAAGTATCACATCATCTAGCTATCATATTGCAACTTGAATCACCAATAATTAGTCATCGTGATTATGATTTTCATGAATTGAGTGATTGGTTAGAGTCATTTACAGCGAGGCGAGGATCGTAGAAAAACTTGGGAGTTCACACATTAACGGGGCATGCAAAGATTCTATGGAAATTCCTTGTCAATGTTGTGGGCAATAAGTATGTCCTTGTTAAGGACATACTTGTCTTTTAAAGTCTTTTTTTTTTATCCTCTGATGTAACGTTTTTGTAGAATATTTTAGATTTTCCTCTGCTGTGACGTGAAGGAGAGTACCTATAAAAGTACTCCGATGGTGAAGTTGGTGTTCAGAATAGAACAATTAATGCTATTTAATATTCTGAAGTCAACTCCTTTACCTGTATTTTTTACTTTCTTTTTATAGACATGATATTGGACTAATGGACTTTATGACTCAGCTTTGCCTTAACCTTTTGATAACTTAGGTAATTAGCCCTTTTCTTATTGATTATGGATTATTAATCTTTAGACAGCTTATTAATTTATTTTAATGTGATTGGAGAGGTGTTCGTCCTAAGGTTAGGCTGAAAGGGTGTGGGTACCCTTCATCCTGGTATTAGGCCGAATGGGTGTGGGTACCCTTTATCCTAGTATTAGGTCGAAGGGTTGTTAGTACCCTTCGTCTTGATTTCAGGCCGAAGGAGTATTAGATTTTCTTTTTATATGATGATCAAATAGTATCTTATTCAGTATACTTGTCCCTAAGCCTAAGGAGGTATGATGCAAGGGCTTTGAATTGATCTGTTAGCAACTTGTTACTTTTTGATGTATGGTCTTTGTCCATAGGTAAGGTTGAAGGGGTCTGAGTACCCTTTGTCTAAAAGTAAGGTCGAAGGGGTATTCAGTTTCCTTTTTCTATGATGATGACTGAATAATATCTTATCCAATACAATTGCCCCCAAGCTCGAGGATGGATGATGTAGGGGTTTTGAATTGGCAATTTAGGGTTTCAGCAGCTTAGAGTTTTAGTAAATTAGGGTTTTTTCATAGGTCGTGCAATAAAATGAAAGGTTGTACATTCATAACCATTGATCTATAAGAGATTTGATGGTTAGGAAGATGAGTGACCCTTCATCTACCCGAAGCCTTGTGTTCTATAAAAGGGATTTGTGGTCCAGGCATTATGTATGCTTTTTTGCTCTGCACGAGGGGTATACTCTGTTAAACGCTCAAGTATTATGTGCATTTTTGGACTCCGAGGTACATCTCGCTTAGCTTGTATCTTTTTGTCTTTCGACTTATTTGGATATAGAGAATGCAATCGAATGGGAGGATTCCTTGTCAGAGGAATTGGGACCAAGTGGTGCTATGGTAGGAGGAAATATAGATAGGGCTCTTACTAAAGTTATGACCGAAGGGGTGGAAGATATATCAAGGAGTCCTGATGCTAAAGTGGCTACTGAACCGAGTAGTATGGTGAGGGATTCAGGTGACCAGGCAAAAATGCCTATTATCGAAGGGGTGAATTTTGAGTCAGATGAGTTACTCCCAAATGCAAGTCCTATGCGGGAAAGACCAAAGTTCTCACCATGCACTATTCCTGGGTATGGGTGGGTGGACAGAGAAGTGGCTGCTTACTTCTCGCGCTTCACACAGAGGGGGCAACTTCAAAACTTTGTAGATTTGTATATGATAGCTTTGTGAGACGATTTAGATCCCTACCAAATAAATGTTAAGGTTTGTCGAGGAGATGGATCGACAAATTCTGAACTTGTATTTTTAGGTGAGGATGCTGGAATGGCCGACACTTTCTTTGTATACGACTATATGTTTAGGGAATTAGGGATAATGTTACCATTTGATGAATTTCAAATGGGGGTGCTGCGTATGTTGAATGTGGCATTGACTTAGTTGCACTCAGATGGGTGGGCGGCAGTTCAAGCCTTTCAGATTTTGTATAAATTTCATTATATAAAACCTAGTGTAGGTCTTTTTCTTTATTTCTTTTGTATTCGACCTTTTGATAAAGCTAGGTGGGTTTCCTTAATAAGGCAAGCCGAATTGCCACTATCCAAATCGTATACGTCTTTGTTTAAGGGTTTCAAGGCCGGGTACTTTAAGTTAGAGGTGGACCCCGTTGTCAGCAAAAAATATTTTCATGATAATGAAGATAAACCCCTTTTCACTGGACCCGAGTCTCTCATCGATACAATGTGTATTCGGAAGAGATGCTGACTTAGGAAGAGTTGTCGGTGTTGGATTATTTGTAAACTCTCCTCCGAGGGTATGCTTTATTCCTTTCCTTGTAGTTTTGTTGGTCATGTATATTGATTTGATTTCTTGTTTTTGGTGCAAGTATAATGTACAAAAAGGAGCCAGTATATCCTATCGACAAGCATTAAGGTGTCGGGCTCTGGAGGGAACTTCGGCTAAACAACATCGCTACCCCTAAATAGATTGAGTATCGGATCTAGCTGTTGCACGCCCTCCTCCCGCAAGCGTTCCCCTTCCTGAAGGCCTCCAAAAGAAAAGAAAAGACAAGAATAAGGGGAAGGAAGTTGAACGCAGAAGGAAGCATGCCCGCACCGACCCCTCTTGGCATGCTTCCTCTAGGCCAAGCAGTTCTTTGATTAAGTCTATCATTCCGCCAATGGTAATGACGTAAAAATTTCTTTGGGAATGGTGTTCGGGCTTCAAGGCTGATATCTCTAGACCTGGTGTTAGAAGCTGGAAGGACCCTCCTGGATAATCAGGATAAAAGGTCCAAGGGGACTTGGTTTTGCAAGCTCCAAACCTGACCCATGGTGATGGCTCATAACTTGGCTTTATAACCTATACTTGATCTTAAGAGAGCTCAACACTGAGTGGTTATCGTCGAAAGAGCTTTGGAGCAAAGTGAAGAGGTCCAGTCAAATTTGGCCGAGACCAACCAGGCATTGGAGGTTGAGGTAGCCCAACTGAAGGAGCATCTCAAGATAATAGAAGATCAGGTTCAAGCTGTTGAGGACAAAGCTTTGAAAAAGCTAAGGGTTTGGAGTTAGTCGATACCTTGGCAAGGGAGCGTCAGCACAAGGAAGAGGCTGATGCGAACATGAAGGCATTTGTTTCCGACTGCCATGGCAAGATCATAGCTGAGCACGAGGCTGGATTCCATCATGCTATGAGGCATGCGGTTGAATTTTGCCAAGTCCCTACGAACTTCCATTTTGACTTAGTGAAAGACTTCTTTGGAGGAAAGTTCCTAAATTATGACGAAGTGACTGACGAGGTGGAGCATGATGCTAAAGGCCCTTGCCAAGCTTGTGGTAAGAGGAGACCACGACCCATGACGAAGATGATGATCAGGTTGAAGATGTCGGTTTAGACTAATAACAGGGGGGTTGGTAATAGGGGTTTTTATTTTTGACTTTGGGCCATTAGTGCCAAGAACATGTTTTTATTCATACATTCACTTGTGTATTATTTGGTCAATTTACTTTTTATTTCACCAAAATTTAACTATATTAAAGATGATAAATAACAACGATAATTTGTAGTAAGTTGTCTTATTGAACAGAGTAAGTTGAGGTATTTATCCCCATGTCTTTTTAATAAAATCCGAGGTGTGTATTTGTTAACCTTGAACTGATTAGTTTTTAAACCGATGCTAACCGAGAGGACTTAAGAGTCAATAACTGAATTAATTATGTGAGATACCCGAAAGATACCTATGTGCAACGTTGTTTTGTCTTTAGCCGATGGAGTAGTTTAGAAGAAGATCTTAATTCAATCTTAGCTGAGTGAGGTACTCGGGAGGGAATAATTGATAATAATATAAGCATAACTTGTAAATAATGAAAGATGTCTTTATTGATGGGGTGCCTCGTTAAAAACTTTCTCAGAAAAATCTCTTTTCACGTTCTTTTAAGAGGGCAAAACCCGAGTGAAGAAAAGAGTGCACTAAATATAAAGTACAATGTTTAACTGAAATAATGCTTGAGGTGTGATGTGTTTCAAGTTCTCAGTATAACTTTACCCTCGAGTGTCTCAAGTTTATAAGAACCGTTGTTCAAGCTAGCCATTATCCGAAATGGTCCATCCCAATTAGTGGCTAGTTTTCGTTCTTGCCGATCACGGTGTGCTTCTCCAGTAACCCTCCATACTAAGTCTCTAGCCTAAAATCGTCTCGGGTTAAGCTATGAGTTATACTTCCGTGACATTGCTTTTTTGCTTGCTTCAGCTATAATAACGGCATGGTCCCTGAGTTCGTCTAGTAGATCTAGGTTGGTGCTTAGCAAAACAGAGTTTGCATCTTTTTTGAAGTGTAGTCTTTGGAAAGAAGGTTCACCAATCTCCACCGAGATCATGGCCTCGGTGCCGTAAGTCATCTAAATGGAGTTTCTTTGGTAGAAGTTTGTGGGGTACACCTATATGCTCAAAGGATCTCTAGTAGCATCTCGGCCCATTCTCCCTTGACCGAGCCTAAGTGTCGTTTAAGTTTATGGAGGATGACTTTATTAGTTGGTTCAACCTGTCTGTTGCTCTAAGGATGTTCTATCAAAGTAACTCGTTGTTTTATATGAAGTTCTTTAGGGAACTCATTGAAGTGCCAATCCGTGAACTGAAGACCATTGTCAGTAACGAGAGCATGCGACATACTGAAGCGTGTGATAATATTTTTTCAAGTAAATTTTTGGATATTATTAGACGTGATGGTTGCGAGAGGTTCAACTTCAATCCACTTGGTGAAATAATTGACCGCAACAATAAGAACCTTGCATTGACCCTTG